CTTCTGTAAGGCCAATAACTGTTAGTTTTATAAAAAATTATAGGTGTGTTTCCATGGTAAGCATTTAGGAAAATGGTCTTGAGTCGATCAATGCAGTTGCAAATTTGTTACATAAAATAATCTGCCAGTTCTTAGTAGAAGAAGCTATATTTTTATTTGTCGAAACGTGCAGCACCAGGCTTCTTAGAGGGTTCAGGTCTTAAAATATATATATACTGTAATAATTAAATACCCTGACATATATTCAGAGTTTTCTTTTTAAATCAAGACAACTTTAAAATCTAGAAATTGCTAATGAATCATAAAAGCATGCTTTTGTTTACCTCTTCAGTGTTTCTCTCAGTGTGGGTATCCAATCTTTGTGAGCGTTTTAAATGTTGTCCTAGTGGATTATTTTAGCGACAACAACAGGTATCATTGTACGCTCAGGGGTGGTCGGCAGTTTGTGTTCATAAACCTTTTTAATTTTGACCATTAAATTATCTTTTTGTTCACCAAGACTTTAATATGTCCTAGTTTTCTAAATAAGTCGCCTTCATTTCTGCGGTTCATATCAGTCTCAATAAATTGACCTGGAGGCTTAGAGCTTGACATGACACTTAACTAGTTTCCATGTCCCCACAGACATAGTCTTAGTTGTTTTCCCCTCTTTGCATGTTAAATCAATTCAGACAGTTAGGTGGGGAGGGTCCATGTTGTAAGACTTCAAGAGGCTAATAGCTTTCAAATGAGTCTTAACTGGTCTTTAATTCACCAACAGCTGTTGTGCTGGTTAAGGATGGAGCGACAGGCCGGTCTGTCAGACGGACCAGGAGGAGAAATTAGTTCTGCTGATGCCCATATTCCCTCCCAGGGAACCATCTGCTCCACTTCAATACAATAGAGGGATTTTCTGAAGGAATAAAATGCTTTGAACGCAACAATTTCTCTCTCTCTCTCTGTGAGAGGGCTTTTGGTTAAGGTGTCCTATTTCCCCAGCACCGGCACTCAGTAAATCTGTTGCACATTTAATGATTGGTTCCTTTTGTTGGAGAGAGGATCATCTCATCAGGATGACTTCGACATGAGGAGTTCACAATGAGGAGTTCACAGGATTCAACCTAAACAACATGCGTTTAAAAGCACAGACGACAGAGAGAATATGTGTACAATATTAGTTCATTAATAAACAAGTTAAATTAAAAATCCTTCATTTGTTTTAGCTTTGTAAGACAGCCCAATTATCCCAACCCTCTGCACTGTGTCTTTAGTTGTTTAAAGCAGATGTAAAAGCTTTTACATTTGACGTAAGAGATGGAAAAAAAAAAAAAAAGTTTTTAGTTTCAACATTTATTTTCTTATGTTTGATCCACTTTAAGTCCTATATGCACATAGGCCTCTAATTAAGCTATATTTTTATTTGTCGAAGCGTGCAGCACCAGGCTTCTTAAACTGGGATGAGCCTTTATTTGAAGTTTTACGGTACATGTTGGTTTTTTTCCCCCAGATATGTCCATTTTTGGGATAAACAAGAGACATCATTTTAAAAGTGTTGCAGTGTAGGCCTATTGATGATAAGACAAATTAAATTATATGACCTTTCATCCAAAGCCGTTTATAGCACATATATGAGCAGAGAATATAAACCTGACCTCTGTTAACACAGAGACAGAGCAGCACAAGCTCAAATGCCATTAGTCACAGGTCTTACCGTGCATCTTCAGGGACACCCCTCAATGCCCGGACCTGATCTCCTTTAAGAGCTGCTTTGTTCATCTCTTACCTTTTTGTTTCTGAGGTTCACCCATCGTTTGAACACCAACACTGTGGCAACCTGATCTCTGTTAGTTTAGAGAAGGTCAAAGGTGAAGGGTACGAAATCTAAGAAATCCGCAACATGCAGTAAGTTTACATGCAGTTAGGAAAAGTTGATATATTGTGTTAGTCCAACCAAAGCTGTACTTCAATGAATCATACTTAGTCTCATTTTCAAATTCTAATTCACACACATAATGCTGTTGGGGATCGATTTGCTTTACATGTATACGCCTCAATGGGACCCTAACTCGGCTAGGCGTTCTGCGCATGCTCCACAGTCTCTTCGCCAGGCTTTGACCCAGAAGTCGAGCAGCTTAAATGTTTAGCAAAGCAGAAGTCAAGTTGACCTACAGTTACAGAGTCAGACACACTTCTGTCCCTAAATGGATTTTCCCTCAGTGCTACAGGGACAAGGACAGTGGACCAATGAAATAGCATAATCAAGCTTTAACTGTGGCTCGACTAAACTGTGTACATAAACGCATTGGTTGTGTCAAAGCTACTATTTAAGTGAGATTACCTTTCATGCTAACTGTAAATAGAGGAGGCCTGTTGTGGTTTTCAAAACCGGAACAAAATTCACGGCATCTCCAGGAATATGACTCCAAGTTTAACAACCTACCTTTAAGGAGAGTAAATAACATCCACTGTAGTGCAAAATGGGATTGTTGCACCAAGCTTTATAGTTTAGAAAAAAAGACATGGTTGAGTGATAAGAGTCAGTCTGCACATGCTCAGTTTGACCTTCATTAAAAAAAAAAGACACAAAACATTTCTGCTGCTGCATTATTCGAAAGAAAAGAAAGTATTGAGGTAATAAGTCATTTTGTTTCCCATGAGCTGTGATTTTGTCATACAGACCTTAACTCCCAGGTGACATGGTTATTCTGTTCAAATTAATATGAAAAGCCACCACATGAAAAGCTGGTTTGTTAATGCTGATTGTTTTTGTTTTTGTCTGCTTTTTAATAATAAATGGATGTCTTATAAACTTTTTTTTTTGCATTGGATGGTTCCATTCTCCCCGTTCACAGTCATTTTCATAAAGAGAATTTCAATAGTATTTATAATATCAGTGCAATGTTTCAAGGGAACTAATGCAAAATAATACAACACAAATGAAACTTAAGAACTGGAAATATGTCTTAATAAAATAACACAACATATTATTGTATAAGTGATGTGTTTCAAAAACTATGATTATATGAAGAATGAACTGTCATTGAAACAAGTTAAGACAAGGTAACAATAAAAAAAATGATGAGGGCTTCATTTGAAACACAGTTTTATTTCAGTTACAACATTTAAAGCCTAATTTTGGTATAAATCAGCTTTTTAAATGTAATTAATTTATTTAAAAAAGTCTTCCATTGTCCAAATAGTCTGAGAGTAATTGAGGAAAATGTGGTGCCACTGGTAGTCTCCCAAACTGTAGTTAGTTTATCAACAGTAAACCTGTTTGAGCAGCTACAGTCATCACTATGAACCTGATCATGAGACGTTCAGGGGCAGTGGGTGTTTTGTGTTTAATGAACTTTCAATCATTTCAATCATTTCACAATCATTCAAGTCCGCAGGAGGCTTTCAGGCGATCACTGTGATCAAAGACATCAGAACAAAGCTGACTTTAAGTCTCTTACTCTCCTTCAAGTGGTGGAAGCGAAAGTCTCCGTCAGTCTCAAACAGAATGACAGATACCTGTTGAAATCACAATAGGCTTTATGTTTGTAAAGTAGCCTACAGATTTATTGTAGGCGTATGAGAATAGATGCTATGAATTTTTGTAACGTTTATATACCTCAGGGTTTTTTTTGTTTTTTTTTCAACTTACTTAGGCTACTTTTTCAACAACTAATGTTATGCCTATGTTTGCCGATGTAACTTAGTTAAGGCCTACTAATTCTCATCACCCTTATTGATTAGCCTAATATATTTTGGCCTAACATATTCACTGAAAATGTGTCTAATATATTCATCATCACATCTAACCCCAAACGTTGATAATAGACGCTCTTATAGCTCGTGTGCAGACTGACGCTGCTCTGACAGACGTGGAGACCCGGATCAAAGAGTGGACAGACAGCGGGCGCTCGGCCGAGGTTGTTTCATGCTTAACGGGATCAGAGCAAGCAGGCCAAGGTCACTTTTAATGAGAACCTGTGTCTGTCTCTGAGGGTCCTTTATTATTATTATATTATTATTATTATTAGCCTATTATTATTTTTAATATTATTATTATTATAATGAGGCTGTATTATTAGAAATGGGAAATGTTTTTTTAAAACCTTCAGTCATCCATTATGAAATTCAAAGGGGACACAGTAAAGGGTGCAACACGTTTTTTTTCTGGTTATGAAATGATTATATGTCTATTTTAATAAAAAATAAAAGTAATAGGCTTAGGCTATCTTTTATATTTTCTAACCATTTTTCAACATGTTGAATGTTTTCAGAATGAACAAGTTGAAAAAAGGTTAGAAAATAGAAAATATAGCCTAAGCCTATTATTTTTATTTTCAAAAATTGGCATATAATCTTTTCATAACTAGAAAAAAAAAATGCGTTCTTGAGAGAGAAAATATCTCATGACAGAAAACTGTTGCTTGTTTCTTTGCAGGTGGCCTCATGCTGCGTTCACGTGGACATTTTAAAGTTAAACTCATGAAGCGTTGTCACAGGGCAGACTGTCTTGAAAATAATGTCATTTTTATACTTAAGTTTTGTTTTTGTAGCTATGATGGCACCTTGAACAATGGCGCTTGCAGGCCGTGCGCACCGTGACATGAAATATCTGTATCAATCTGCCCACACACAATCTGATAAATAAGATAGATGGAACCACGGGCCTGTGTAGTCTAAGTTTTTTGTGTGACAGGGGTCCAATCACATGTGACTAAGCGGACCGTTGACCAATCCCCTCATCCTGATCTCTGTGTGAAGAGAGCTTCACGCGGAGAAGCCTCGCGCATCGCTGGTGGTTGAACTTGTGCGCGTGCACGTGTGCCTGAGTGTGTGTGTGTGTGTGTGCGTGCGTGCGTGCGTGCGTGCGTGCGTGTGTGTGTGTGTGTGTTTGAGTAGGAGTGTGTGTGTTTGAGTAGGAGTGTATAAAACCACTACAACAGAGCGCTCAGACCTCAGAGTGGGTTCTTGTTGTTCGGGTGCCTTATTACTTTTTAGCTGAATTTAAAACTATCAAACAAAAAGAAAAGTTTTCCCATCATGATGTTTCCCTGCAGCGCCCTGCCGCCTCCTCTCTGCCCGGCCTTACTGCGTCCTCCTGCGGCTCTCTCCTCTCCGCTGACCCGCTCGCTCCCCTCAGGCTTTCTGGTTGAAGATTTGCTGCGGTTAAGCCAGCCGGTCAGCTACATTCATCGGACCGTCTCTTCTAGAAGTTTAGGGGACATGTTCGCCATCGGCCCGGGGCTTGGCGCTCCTTCCCGGGGGTTGGGACACGGCACCGAGCGGTGTGTGCTCCAGAACTCCGGTCAGCCGAGTCAGAACAGCCCCGGCTCTCCGCAGACCGCCTGCCCGGACTCAGGGTACCTCAAGTTCGGTGTCAGTGCGATACTGGCCCCGTCTACACGGAGCGGTGAGTGTGTGGGGCAAACGGGGAACTTGCTGATTAAGAGTATTAATTAGCTTATTAATATGATAGATAGGCTAATAAGCTTAATTGGACGACTAGGAACAAAATGTTATTATTATGTAGGCTATTTATCTTTTCTTCTACAGTCCTTTATTTATTTATTTATTTCATTCATTATTTCATTATTATTTCTCGACCTTTTTAGACTAACAGCCCTGCGGGTGATGCTATAACCTGCTCATACATTTCAATACAATGTATTTATTTAGGCCTATATGTAGACCCGGGAAGCATTGGATGGTCAATAAAAAAAAAACATAGGACTACATTACATAACAGAGTAGTTTGCAGGATGATGTGGTGCGTGACATAACTTGTAAGGATTTTTTCAAAATGGCTATATTATTATATTGAAGTTATATTAGACGCTTCAGTTCTTCAATGATGAATCTTTTTGATGCATTTCTGGTGTCTGTGGTATTTATATATGTTTCCTGCTTTAGGGTGTCACTGATCTTATATTAAATTGTGTTTTTCTTTCCATTTTGTTTCTCAGTCCAGAGTTTTCAGACCAAGTCTTTACCTCTGCCTTTTTTTGATGGGAGCCTCCATCCTTTCCTCAGAGCATCCTACTTCACAGGTAGGTTGAATTAATTAATGTTATTTATTTCATTATATTTTCTGAACTGTTCGTCTAAAGCTGATTTATATATTATTATTATTATTATTATTATTATTATTATTATTATTATTATTATTATTATTATTATCATTATTAATAGAGAAAAGGGCATTTGTTGAACATTGTTAAATTGTTTATTGTCTTACCACTTTCCTGTACATTGCCATTTTAGATTATTTAACATAAACGCATTTAAGTTTACGGCTTTTTATTCCTCACTTGGCTACATAAGTCATAGACTTTACACAACTTCTAAATCAGTTTTTCTTTTTTTAAAGTAAGTATTCATCTTTGATTAGTCAGATTTGTTCTCTGACAAACCCTGTTGGCCTTGTTAATGCTTTGTGTGTGTGTTTGTAAATGTTATGTTATAGGTTGCATAAATGATCATGAGGATAATGAATTAATAAATATCCTTTCAGTAAGTCAAAAATAATAAACAAGCTGTTAACAGTTTGTTTCTTTGTGCCTTAGGTCATATTCTAAAGGTGTGTGCTTTCATTTCATAATGATACTGATTCACTTATTCATTTAGGTTGTCAGCTAGTTCTGATTAAATGTTTAATGTGATTTAAATGTCGAAAAGTGTTTTCTAGGAGTGAAACTCTCACTAGAGTTCTTTTATCATCATGTGTTATTCAAGAATAGTGATCGTAAAACTTGATTCATAGGTTCACTTAAGCATTGCATAGACTAACATAATATTGGATTAATATGAAAATATAAAATAAAATATTGTAAAAAAAAAAAAAAAATCGAATAAAACAAAAAAAAGGGGGGCATCATTTCTCTTTTAGAAAACATTAAAAACAAAACAAAAAGACCATGCCTTCAGTCTATTATTTTATCATGTGAATCTCAACACAACCTTTATTTGTCCGGATAGATTTTTAAACCTTCTAAAATTATGTTAAAATACATTTAGCTAAAGCATCATCAACTCAGCTGTGCTAATGTACTTCTTCACTGAAAGTATTACCTACTCTATTTCACTCACAGTTATTACATTTAATATTTTGTCTTTATTTGTTAAAGGAACATACGTGCAAAATGAACCGTACATGTCATCAGGTGAAGTGTTGAAAGCTAGCTCATCATTCTCATATTAGATTAGAGGAAGGAGACTGAGTATTACATCAGATACAAATAATGTATAAGTATCAACGGCTGAGGCTGAAATAATATGAAGAAGATGGCAGCTTGTAAAAAAATATTTTTCACCTAATTAGTTTCAAGTTCTTGTTTATAGCGTGTTAACAAATGACACACACTGCAACATGCGTAACATAAAGTTATTCTTAATGCCCCATTCATAGATAGAGCTTTAAATAAAATAAAACTACAACAACAAATATTCAGGATGTGGTAAGAAATAGGGCTGGAAAACTTTGGGTGTCTTAGGATTCGATTCGATTTCGATTCTTGGGTTCACGATTCAATTGAGAATCTATTTTTGATTCAAAACCATTCTGGGTCCATGATTCAAAGTCTATTTTTGAATGAGTACATACTTTAGGATCTACTCCAGTCATCTGTGAGACTGGCTGAATTTATTGCTGTTCCATTTGGAGTTAAATAAATTTGATTTTTGGAAGTTATGAATTGATTTAAAATCTCAGAACATACAAATCTCAATTTTTAGATAAATCAAATTTTTCCAACCTCTAGTAAGAAACACAAACTCAGAAATACATGTGAACATAAGGAACACAAAATGTAACAACAACAATACATCAACAAAAATACTATATAACATCTCAAAACAGGAAGCACAAGCTAAAGCATGACTGCATGGCTGAGTCTTGTTCAAAATCTGTTTCAGTTTGATCTCAGTGAAATATTTATTAGTCAAATCCAAATCTAGAACAATTTTTATTGGGTTCTTTCTTGGCCCACTTGATGTCAATCCAGTAAGATTTTAAGAAGATCTCGACTCTAGTTTTTGCTGATGAATTGACTAAACACAACGATGATATCATCCCCTATAAGTGGAGGTTATTTCATAGAAATCGAATCATACACTTCAGGCTCAAGTTTGGATTTCACAGCTTCTGGAATCGAAAGTGAAAACTCTTTCCACAAGCTGATGTAGATGATGAGGTCTCCTTAGTATGGGAATCCCCCCACGGACATTTTCAGAATCTGCTCCGCCTATTTGGAGGCCTATTTAGGCAACACTCTGACTGCTGACATTAGCACCAGTTGTCCTAATCTACAAATTAGTCCAGTTTGTCACGCTCTCAACCTATTAGTGCCGTTTGTCATGGTCTAAATGTGAGGCGGGCATCTTCCCAGCTCGGGAACGCAGCTCCTCTTCATGTGGCCTTCGTTTTCCCACCAAGCCCCCTCTGCCTGCCCACAAAGCTCCCAGAACCATGACCAAACGGAGCCTAAACCACACACACACACACACACACACACACACACACACACACACACACACACACACACACACACACACACACACACACACACAACAACACACACAACACACACGCACACACATTCCATGAAGATCTCAGAAGTTCTCCTCTACATCAATCGATCTTGACCTGGATTTTTTCTTGAATTTATTCCCCAGTATATTAATCAAGTAAAACACAAACTATACATAAATGTGTGTGTCTTTGGACAGAGCATCTGTGTGACATGATCTGTGTGTGTGACTCTATAAACAGCGGTAAGCACTCTGTGCCCTCTGAAGCTGAAGTGAAGACTCTCCAGCAGCTCTACATTATACTGACCTGTCTTTAATGGGCCTGTAATATACTGGCCTGTCGACGGCCTTTTCCACTCAATTCATTACAACACAATCACCTTTCTCTGTGCATTTGCAGCCCATACAATCCCCCTTCATGCTTCATTAGAGGCAGTGTGAGCGCAGCTTTGGAGAGCCCGGCTCATTAGCATAGGCTGTGTTTCCACTGGCCGACAAATTGGGCTTTTAAACACCAGATTTCAGGCAGAACAAGTATATTATGGGCAGCATCGGGGAGCTGGTGTGTGAGTGATGCTTTTTCTCAGAACAACTAAGTTTAGGAGAAAGTGAAGTTAAAGCAGCGAGTAACTTGTGAAATTCAAACATTTATACATTAAAAAGCTGCTTTTCAAGCACCTATAATTGAAACAAAAACTTCACAATGTATATGGCTTTGGATACATTTTCAATTGGTTCTCGTTTTGACATAAAAGAAAAGAAGAAAAGCAAACCAATGCCAGTTAATCAAGATACATTTTGAAACCTTCAAATACATAAACACATTTGAGATACATCGTAACTGATCTTTTGAAACTTAAAAATGGCACACATATTTTGTGGGTAACGCTTTACAGTAGGGTTCACAAATTACCATAAATTTGTTAATAAATGTATGCACCAAAAAAGCATAAATACATGCATGTATTCATGATCATAATCAGCAATGCACATGTATTAAAGGGGCCATAATATGTAACTCATTGGAGAGAGCGGCCCCCCTCCGCCCCCTCCTCTCTTGAGTCAATGTGTACGCAGGTTGCCATTTCGCAATTACTGAAGCTTCAGTGTTTAGCCAGCTCTGCATCCGTCTTAAAACCTTTCTTCGGTCTAACATCTCTCGATTTTTTTCACAAGCATCTCCAATATTTATCCCAGTTTTACCACGTTTCTGGTTCTGGAGCGTTTTAGAAAAAATGCAGAGGATTTTCATCCTTTCACCACCATCGCTGCAACACCTGTTGATTTGCTGTTTGCCTGGTAAAAACCGAGGGGTCCAAAATGGCAGTGTGGGGGTGCCTTTCTCTGGTCAAAACAAGAACAAACCATTCTGGACTGGAATTGAAACCTAGAAGTACTGGCTGCTCTTTGTTGACATCATGACTTATATCTTATTAGCGATGGTTATGATTTCTTCTTCCAAGTGTTGGAGTCATGATTAGTTCAGCATTACAGCATGTACTCATGAGACTATGTTTTTTTCCCTCCAGCCTCCTCCTCTGTGGTTCCTGTACCAGGCACGTTCTCCTGGCCCCTGGCCCCCAGAGGGAAGCCCAGGAGGGGCATGCTTCGGCGGGCCGTGTTCTCAGACCTCCAGAGGAAGGCGCTGGAGAGAACTTTCCAGAAGCAGAAATACATCAGCAAACCAGACAGGAAGAAACTGGCCAGTAAACTGGGACTGAAAGACTCCCAGGTACACACTGAAGACCATCAGACTGATTTAAAACCACTCTGAATAATATTGAGAGGATGATAGACCACTTTGTTGAGATAAGATGGTTTTAAACATTTTTAAACCTAAACCTAAACATAAATTTCTATCTCTGCAGGGATCATTTCTCCATTTCTAAGAGGGACAGTTTAAGCTTGTAAGCTTCATAAACAAGCACTTTTAGTTAAAGTACTTTGATCCAATGAATTTGCTGAGAAAGATTACTTATCAGACTTTATCTCCACTGCAGGGTGAAGCAATCTACTCAAGCAATGACCATTTTTTTGTTCCTATTGTTATTTAAATCCCAAAATGTGTAATAAACATACAAGTCTTAAAATACTGTAAATGTCTTTTAAACGTTGCCTGTACTGACCCCAGACCAGCTTGTGATCTTATTGATCCTAATAGTGTTTTATTTTTCTGTGTCCTGTGAAGGTGAAGATCTGGTTTCAGAACAGGAGGATGAAATGGAGAAACTCCAAAGAGAGAGAGCTGCTGTCAACGGGCGGCTGTCGACAACAGACCCTGCCCACCAAAACCAACCCCCACCCAGACCTCACGGACGTAGGCAGCACTTATTGCCAGAGTTTGGACAGGAATGCACCCATCAGCCAATCACAGCTGGAAAGCCAGGAGTTGCATAGCCAACAGCACCAACATCATCGTCATCATCATCATCATCATCACAGTTCCTCCTCTCCGTCAGAGTCGAGCAAACAGTCCGAGTCAGAAAGTGAAGAAATCACAGTCTCATAGAGTTATGGACACTGTTGGTTTGATGTAAATAAACAGAGTCTTTGAATGGGCTCCATACACAGCTGTGTTTTCTCAGCCTTACCCCCTCACTGCCATGTTTCTGTACAATGTTGTTTATATCACTTTAATATGTAGTTCAGTTTATCTATATATGAGGTACACTGAGCTGTTTTAGATATTTGTAGATTGAAATGATCAAAACTATTAAATATTCAAATGTTTTCTTTTCATATATTTGTATTCTTTATATTTCTAATAAAACTTGATATAACCAATTTTAAGAAGTCTCACTGAGTGATGATGTTTAGTATCCTCCTCAAATATAATCCATGGAACATAAGAGTTAAAGGTTTATTCTAGTGGTATTTTAAGATTGGTCATATTTTTACCAGCGCTGTCAAATGATTCACGTTTTTTTATGACAACATTTAATTAAAGGTGTAGTTTTGGTAGAGAAATATGAAAATTGGAGAAATGCAGAGATTCTGTGGTATAAGTTCATAACTCTATACACAAACTGTCCTCAGAGTAAAATGTGGTGTCTGTTACACTGTTTGCAGATAAAATGCTACGCGATAAGGTATGGGGGAGGGCCAGCAAGCGTGAAAGCGTAACTGTCCTGGTAACTTTTTAGCTCCAAACAGTGTTCCAGGGACCCATATTTTTCCTTTGAGTAAAGTTTGTGTATTTAGTTCAGAAAATATAGTATAGAATTGTTTTATTACTTCTCAAACTTTCAAATTTCACTACCAAATCTACATAGTGCACCTTTAACCACTGAAAAAAGAAACTAAATGAATGAAAACAGCTCAAAGGAACAGTCAGCAAGGGAAATGTCTGATGGTCTATATTTTTGACTCGTCAGCTGAGCCTTCTTGGAGTTTATTTTTAGTTGAAATTAGACATTCAAAGATGCAGCAGTGGTGTTCTTTCCATCACTGTGATTATAGGGAGACGCTGCAACACAATAGTATGGGATTAAAAAAATGTATGCATTAATTTCAGACGTTAGCTGTGATTAACTCGTTAGTGCTGACAGCCCTCATTTTTACACATTTCAGAGTCTTAACGACTACTGGGTACACTTTCTTTTTTTTTTTTTGCTCCAGTAGATTATGTGAGCATGCTTGCACAAACAGGTTGTAATGTCTGCAAAATAATCCCGGTAGCCAACTGAGTCCATTCAAAGTACGTCCAGATTATTATTCTTAGTGACTGACAGAAATAAATTTGGACTGTGATTGACCTTTATTATGCTACATTTCTTTCTTTTCAGAGGTACCAGTAGGTCAACATTACCAATAAGTTGTTCCAACCACATTCTCCCCTTCTGATAGATCTGCTTCTTTCAGACATATACCCACCCCACCCTCCCCTGACTTTATGTAACAACTTTCTAAATATTAACTGAAGAATAATTTCTGACTCAAATGACTGTTCTTCAGAATTAAAATGTCATTTGAGGAACATTTTTGTAATCCCTGTGGACAAAGTGGATTTTTTTTTTTTTTTTACTGAATATCAATCCTGCTTTCTTTTAAGTCAAATGTATCACTCACCCAGAATGTTGGGCTGAATCTCAATATCCTCCCTGAGCCCTCACAGACTTAGCGGGAACGCACATGAAAGTCAGTATGTGTGTGAGGGTGGACATCGAGTTTGGGCCTTTATCTTGGAAAACGTGAAATAAAAAGGAAAAAAAAGATCTGTTTGATCAGTGTTCTGTTGATCTCTACATCTGACATTACAGAACCCTCTCGCAGACACTACAGGCATTAAAAAAACTACAATATATAGAAATAGTGAATATTTATGCTGATGGTCTCTTTTGCTCTCAGCTTTTCAAAGCTGCATCAATATTAACTTCAGTTTGTTTCATAACCAAGTAAAAATTTCTCCCAAGAGCTTCCAAGGCAAAAATCTGTTCTCAGGAACAGCTTCAAGTTTTAGAAGACGTATGTTCCTGCTGCTTAGGTTCAAAGGTAAGATGTCAACACACTGAAACCAGACCCAAGTAATGGATCTAAAAGAGATGCAGCGGTAATAAATTAGACCAAAAAAGAAATAAATAAAATCAGCGAACAGGATGGATTGTTAAAAAAAACAACAAGACTTTATTGCCATTTTCCACTATGGATTATACAAGGAAAGCTGGAGCAACAATGAACGGGTACTGACATCGGAATTAAATACAAAAACAATGTTATTAATATTTCTTAACATTCAGCTACTGAGCAGATGACTGACAGGGCCATGACCATCATCATCGTGGTCTTCATCAGTAAAACAATGGCTTTATTAAACAAGGGTTTTTATTCATGAAAACTTTATTTACATGAGGAAATAAAAACAATCACTGACTTCATGCCATGCTCTTTAAAAGCCTACAAACACATCAGAGTGGCTGCTGTTAAATAACTGAAGGGAGGTGTTAATGGAGGACATTAAGTACAGTATTTACAGCCATATGTCAACCCACTAAACAATCAAACACACAACCTAAACACACCGGTGTACGCCTCTGCTTGGTCCCCACTGCCTGATGAAATAGGGGACAGAATCTCCGTGCAGACTGGCTGGACAGTAACAGCAGCGAACGCTCATTTGTGCCACTTCAGCAGTTATTAAAAACCTGTTTAACTTTAAAGGTTTTCTGTATTTTTAACCTGGGGATATATATTTAACATATTTCGGGGTCTAAACGAATCACAGCTTGACTCTACCAAATTCCTTCAACAAAAACAGAAATAATTGTGCAGAAAAAAGCAGCGGTTTACCCGCAACTTCAAAGTTCTTCAATTTTTTTTTTCTTCAACCACCTTTGTTAATGAAGTTTGTTTGTTTGAAAGGAAGCGATGTAGCAAACAGCTCTGACTATTTTGCTGCTGCAACAGAAGCAATCTACAAATATAAAGCCATAACGTCTGATCATTTAGACCCCAAAATAAGTACTAAAAAGAACATCCGATTTTAAAATAACAATGCCACTTTAAATATAAGGACTAAAAGACCACTGCCTTTGAACAACCATGTACAGAAAGGCCACATAATGCTTTCAGAATGAAAAAAAAATAAAAAGGATACACATTACCCTGACTGAATACGCCCTTTAAAGTCTACACAGCTGTGGTTTCTACAGTCAGCAGAAAGAAAACAGAGGGCTTCTCTCCACTGTGTAAATGCAGTTAAACTCACTTGTTTATTCGAGTAAATGTTGGAGCTTGAAGTCCAGTTTGCAGAGGTGTTTTTAAAACCTTGCCACCAAATAACAGTCACTGATTTTTTTTTTTTTTTTACAAACTGGACTTTAGCTGCCGTCACTGACATGCAAGACTGGTACCAGCTTCAGCCACAAGGGGGCAGTCCAGCACTGCATTTACACAGTTTCCTCAGCTATTTACAGCAGTGTTTCTCCTTCCAAACACAACAGCAGCAGCAGCAGAGCAGCAGCGACGTGGTGCATTATGGTTTAACAGGAACAAACAACCTGTCAGTCGCTTCCCCCCTGCAGCCACACAAGACGCTCTTCATGACGTTTTAAAGTGGTTAACAACATTTAAATATGTACAAACATTTTGTGTGGTGAGTCTAAACCAGAGAGGAGGGTAAATTCACTATGTCATTATACTACAGTGGAGTTTGGAGTTTGGGACATGGTGGAGTGATGAAACTGTACAGACTGAGAACGACAGTTGACACAGGTTAGGACTCACTCGGGGTTAATCTCTTCTGATGGTCAACACAAACAAACATGTGTGTGTGAAGTTTGATTATAAGCTAAAATTGGGTCCAGCTGTGTGTGTGTGTGCGCTAAAAATCCCAGTCACAGCCTTAGATCAATCTGAATGTACCCATCTATACAATCAGATTAAGGTATGTTTTATTTCTACTAACGTACAGGCACAGTGGGTGGAGTCAGGTTCAAACTTGAGGGTGTATTTTGTTTGTTGCTACCTGGTTTATTGATACAGAGGAGTGGGCTGGAAGTGCTTTCTATCTCCATCTACTAGCACATTAAAAATGAACACAGAGGGATTTTTGAAAAGGACGATGGATATTCTACCAGCTGAACTCCACAGGCTTTTTTTTTTTTTTTTTTTTTGCAGATGAGATGAGGCGGTGATAGTGGGGGCTCCTCACTGCCGGTTGCTCTTTATTCTCTCCAGACGCTTCTTCAGGTCGTCCAGGTTGGCCGCAGGCGAGGCGGAGCGGGTGTGTGTGTGCGTCGGGGAGTGGGAGTGTGTGTTGTGTTCCTGTTGGTACAGCTCTCGGGACTCTTTGAGCTGAGACAGCTTGCTGTTGAGCATGTCGGTGGAGGAGGCCACCGACGGCTTGGAGGAGAGCAGGGATGAGATGGGAGGTCGGTGCTGGGGCTCGTCCTCACCTCCTACGATGCCCTGCTGCAGGTGGAGAGAGCGGGGACGGAGAATGGAAGGCTTAGCTTCTAGAATAACGTGGCGTATGTGACTCAGGAGTGCTGCTGTTTAAGTGAGTTTAATTATCAGAGAAACTTTATATTTACATCCCAATGCAGTTTTTTTTTTACTTCTGTGTGTGTGCACTCACCCTGGCGTTGTTTTCCAGGCCTTGTCTCTGTCGGAGGATTTTCAGTCTCTCGTAGTAAACCGCTGGTTTCAGCTCTTCATTGTTACTGCTCAGGCTGGAGTCCACACCGTGCTGTGGGATCACTGCAAGACACACAGACACACACAAAGCACGGTTAATACACACTCCCGCCCTTTCTTCTGAACGCACGTACACAGTGAGAGATCTCAGTCGTACCTGCAGAGGTCTGGATGCGAGCCTTGCCCTCCCTCTCGGACTCGATCATGCGGAGGCCTCTCTCCACGTAGCTCTGGAAGAACTGCGACGTGTTTTTGAGGAAGGGCTCCAGGTCTGCATCCGAGTACTTCTGTTTGTATTCATACAACTCCGTCAAACCCTGAAAAAAGAAGATCGGACGCATTGATGACACATTCACGTCATCCAGGGTTGACCTT